TGAAGGACGGCAGTGGTATAAGATGAGGTGACTAACCTTGTAGCAGGATATTCACCATGTTGATGCATTAACACTGACATGGCTAAATGATGTGAACCGGACGATATCAAATATTCAGTGTCAAAACTCTCTTATTTTTTGTGTTTATCTTTAAAAACAAAGAAATAGCTTTTGCTGTGACATTAGCTTTAACTGAAGTAATTGTTATTGTTCATTATAATTGTGCTCGGATCTCAGGAGACTGCATCCTATTTCACATCCACTAATGCAGTCATCTGTGAACATTCTCCTGTTCAGAGAAGTTGGTTTCTATTTACCAGATCAGCATCTGGACCAAGGAATGTTTAATCCTGATATCCACTCCAAGTCCTAGCTTGTATTGTATTAGGTTTCCTCATTAAGCCACACTCAGACCAGGCACAGAGGATAAAAATAAGATACCGTCATATGATATGAGCTTCCTGGAAACAACAAAATAGATGTTTGCAGTTTATTTACAAGCTGTGTGTTGAGTCATTTTAGGCGTTGAATCTCTTTAAAAGGGTCAAACCACGTCTAATGTCGGATGGCATTGTTGATGATGGTTCTGCTCTCAGCTGCTTTACCAGGTTTCAGTGAGTCAGTCTTGAATGAGGGACGGATTTGTCCACTATTTCATCAAATCAAGCATTTTTTTGTATTTATGTTTTGTCTTGCAGACCAGATTAAAATCCCAGGGGCACTAGAATCTAAATTATAGTATTACATTTATTTTAGGACTCATTTTTACAGTTCTGACTTTAATTACTGACTGTTATTTTGGATCAACTGTTAATTTGTTACTTCAAGACACATGATGCTGCCAGTGATGACTCAGCTGTTCATCAGCAGTCTAGCACTTAGACCAGACAGACGTAGCTCTCCTGTTCTCTGAGTCTCTTTTTCCGTATCAAAATGTATTTCTCGACCTACACTATCTTGCTCACAGACTGGTTCGGGATTTGTTAGAAGCTAGAAGGAGCTTAAATACAGAGAACAGTCGATTCAGTATTTCAGCCATTTGCCTTCATGGCATAGTTCTTTTATGCCAAGCAGAATAAATGGGAGAATGTGCCCTTCAGATAAAGAAAATAGGGGAAAAAATGATGTTATTATATCTTCTTTCGCTGCTGCTAAAAAGAAACTGGGTCAGAAATCTGCTGCAAGTGATGTTTCAATGTTATGTAATATGTCATGGCATTTTATTCTGTGTAAGCACTCTTCATCTTTTAAGGGGTAGAGAGAGTGTGCTGTGTTTAAGGCTGTGTTTCCTGTAGAGGTTTGTTAGGTCTGGAGGACATGGGGAGAATATATTATATGAGGATTGTAGTTTAACCATGGATGTTCCTGAACACTGATGCCGTTTCATTTGTGTTATGAAAATATATTATCCTCTCTCATGTTTGAGTTTCACACTTGACAGCTCAGGGGCAGGTGACACCAACACTGCAGAACTTTTCAACAAATTCTGTTCACTTCACTTTGGAAATAAACTCACTGGAAAAACATAAAAATGCTGTTTGGAGATTTGGAGACAGTTAGCATGATATTCCAGCAAGTATCGGTGATGGTTAAACATGGATACAGACAAAGTCAGCTGCACAGGTAGAGAGCAATGAGCTGTTTGGGGATTAAATCAATGTTATCCATCTGACATACGTGATCTCGAAAGGAGACTGTGCCTCTGTTTGGTTTTTTTTCTCAATATAATTCTAATCATAACAACGTGACACATTTTCCAGCCAAGTAATTCAGTCCGCTCTTTGAACAGCTGTTGATTCCTCTCTAACTAATGTCAAACACGGAGCCAGACAAAACGTCAACTTATCTTCAGCCCTTATAAAAAACCACTGCTTTGCCCAATTTGCTGTGGAGCTAAGTAATTATACACTATAAGCCAACAGGCATGTATGCTTGTTGAGATAGTGAGCATTTTCTTTTCATTACTTTTGTCATTTGTGCAGTTTAGAGCACAAAGTCAAGTTAATAGAACAACTTAGTTGTTTTCAGCCCCTTATTTTACACACGTCACTGATGTTAGGACAGTATCGTCTGTTGTATCATATTTATGTTTTGCACCGTCCTCTTATGGCTGCTGATGGCTGAGTATTCTGTTGATGGCTGCAGTTGATGTCAATAACTACTGTGTTATTGTCAGTCTACAGGCGACAAGTGCTTTCCGTAGTTCTGTGATTACTCCTCACCTCACAATGCTTGCGAAGATGCACAGATCCCACTTTTGCTTATGTGCCTTTTAACTAGGCCACTGTGATTTGAAATATTCATTAAAAAATATGAAATTCGAATATAGTGGACTTCTCAGCTGCTTAAGAAGCTTTCAAACACTCTGCTCAGGAACAATATAGTTCTGAAATACAGGACAGACACACTACACCTTGAAATAAAGGTGACACTGTTTTTGTTTAGACATTGTAAACCCACAGAAGCCGTCTCATGTCCATGTCCATGCACAATCTGCATTTCAAGACTTTTCCTCTGCTCTCTGAGCTAAAGAGGAAATTTGAAAGTTTAATATGTGCAGTGATATCAGTTGTTTTGTGCTACGTAGTAGAACGACTTTGCAATATAAATGTGTGTGTCAAATCATCTGACTTTGCTCATCATTGCACCTCAACAACACCTCTTGTCACCACCTCTTGTTTTGTGTTTTCAGTGGCTGACATCACCTCTGAGTGTGACTGTCAGACACATGATCAAGTTCATCCTGGTCCCACTGATTACTCAAGATCTCTCTTAGATGGAAACACTGCGTCATTGAACTTTTGGGTTAACATTATGTAAGGGACCATCTGAAACCAGGATTGTTCCACCAGCTATTTTGTCTACAGATTTGAAACTCTTTCCTAGTTTTCTTTGCCAACAAATATCACAGATATAACATGAAACCTTAATAAAAACAACAAGATCTAGTTTGTCTAGATGACTCTCCCCACACACGTCAAGGAGAGTCCAGCCTCCATTGCTCAATAGTCAGTTAATCGTCAAGAAAGCTTTTCACTTCCTAATATAGGCCTGTCACATGTAGCGATCCAGCTATGTGCTCTCATTACATTCTACCAAAGATAAACTTTCACAATTTATATTATTTGACAGTGACACTTATCATAGCCCCTCACTTTGTCTCACTGTCAGTCCTGCTCCCACCCCACGCCCTCATCTGCATATCTAATCAGTACTCATGATCAGCTTTTATAAAGAGCCTGGAACACACGTCCCATTTTAGTACATCAGTCAAGGAAACTAGTGACAGTTGTCAAACTTTTCATGTCTTGCTGAAACAGACAAAAGATATGATTGAGAGAAAGGTGGCTTATTTTGGAATTCCACTCCGACATGAATCATGGACATCAGCATTATAGTGTAGGTGGGAAAATCAGGTGTGTAAATAAAAGATTATTGATTTGAATCAATGGAGCGCTATATAGGAATCCCAGCCACCTTGTCGCCTGCTCCTCTAACCTCCATGATTGTAGGTCAGGGTTTTGCAACTGACGAAGGGGGGGGGGTCAAAGTGTAAATATGCTCTCCTTCTGCGAGACAATGGACTGAGCTGAGATTAAATTAGAAAGCCACTCTGTTGATGCCTTCCCACAAAGCCTTGTTTATTGACCTCTGACGTTCAGTGACAGTTTCTTAATCCGTTAGCCTTATTGTTGTAAGCAGCTCTCACTGTTGTCTATCCTCTCAGCCAGTGGCTCTGGCAGTTCTAACCAATCACAACTTAGCGTTTTGACCCCCCCCCCCCCCCCCTTCCTGATTAACTGAGCAATACCCAATCACTACGATTATTTTCTTTGTCTTAGTCCTCATGGACCGGCTTGTGGTCTTATTTCATTTTGAATGTGGGAATTAGGGGATCCTTAATCATTTCTGGTTATAACTGTGACATCAGATTTCTACCGTATCCACTTCGACCTTGTAGATTATGTGTAAATTAAGATCTTGTTAAATGGGCAGTTACATGTAGAGTTCCAAGTGAAAGATGCAGAGAAACAAAATGTTGCAGTTACAGTTTCTTTTTCTGAGTTATGGTTTTGGTTGTGACTGAACAAAATCAGTTGCTGCTGAACCTCTGCTCGTGTGGTACTTGCAGAATAGAGGACAAGCATGATGATAGAACCTAATCAGATCATTTAAATGTGAATATGTTATAATTCACTTGTTATAATGAACTTTTAATATCGTCATAAGCAGACACATAGTAAATAACTAAATTCAAGCAAAGTACTTAAGTATATCACCATTTAAACATCAGTATTTTAACATTGTTGTTATGAGCATGTTAGAACGCTGATGGTAGCATTTAGCTACAAGCTGTCAGCATGGCTTCAGATGTCATTTGCAATTAATGGGGGAGAATCAAATGTTTCTTCTCAAGTTAAAAACTATTTGTGCAAACTACAGTTTGAAATCGTTTTTACATTAATAAAGTTATTTGACTTAAATCTAAATATATTTTAATTATTGTTAAATGGTTTCAGCTGCTGTTTAATAGCACAAGGAATTTGATCTAACTTAGTTTTTGTAGCAGTAGTCTGTTACATGTAAACTAGTACAATACATGAGTGCCCTGTGCGGTAATGGCAGGTTGTTGTCTCTTGTTTTATCCAGTGTCTCCATTCCCTCATACTGCCCCAATCTGTTGTCAGTTTTGTGTCCACCATTTACATTTTGGTTGAACTAATGTATGTTTTTTTTTTCTTTTGTCTTCTGTCTCTTGTCTCCTCTTTTTCTTTTATCATCTGTTGTCGTCCTGTTTGGCTGCGGCTTCTCCTACTGCTGCTGCTGTTGCTGCCCCCTATCGCCAACCCTGCTGCACGCAAACCAACCACTGCCAACATCCGGTCAACATCTGGTCAACACATGATGGACGTCTCTCCTCCCCTCTGCCCCCTCTGACACATTTCTTTTCTTCCTCTTGTGCTTTTCTTTTTCTGTCTCCACCCTTTTCCCCCTGCTAGCACCATGCAGAGTTGAGAGAGCACCATGCCACCTCCGGTAAGCCAGTGACCTTTCAGACGAAGGGCAGTGCACAGGGGAAGGGCCAGGGCTCGTATTTAGGGGCCAATTGAACATGAGGGAGTGTGATGTGTGTGTGATGTGTGTGTGATGTGTGTGTGATGTGTCTGTGTGATGTGTGTGTGATGTGTGTGTCTTCTTCAGGTAGGGCCAGTAAACAGTGATGCACCAAATTCACACAGTTTTCTCTGACAGATCTTCTTCTGAATGTTTACTTTGCCGTGGTGTCGTGTGCAATATAATTACATATTTGATTGCTCTGCCAGCGCCTCACTTTTTCCAGCACAGAGCCACCTTCATTAATAAACCATCAACTGCAGTTTGTCACAGAGCAATTTTTTCAGTTTCCTTGACACTGACTTTGCTCAGTGCTTTTTTAAAATGTTGTCTGTATGTGCTTTTGCCTCCAAATATAGTAGCTTCTCTTTGTGGTCATGAGGTCAAAGACATAGTGGAAAAAGAAGTGCCTTTTTGGTCGTGTGTGAACAGATGCAAAGCACAGAACTGTGTGAAACTCTGTCTTAAAAATTCCCACACATTTTTTACTGACACTTTTATTTAAAGTCTTTTTCTTTTTCTTTTTTTTTACAAATACATTTATTTCACAGGGGTTATATGTCTTTCTTTGGCATCGTATTCACCTGTGAAAATTATAACTCAATAATGGTTGTCATGGTTTTATAGCCCTTCAGCCCTGTAGGAAAGTGTGTCAGTGTGTATATGTGGTGTACAGAAGGAAGCACACCTACATTACATGTACACAGCTTCATTCAACAACTCACAACAACTCACCTGCTAAGTACACACTGCTGTCTGATAGGATGAATGGATGCTGACATGGCTGGATTATTTGATGGATTATCTTCCGGATTATATTATATCTTTGGTGTGTGTGAGCGCGCGGGAACGTGTGTGTTTGTGAATATCCTACATTCATAATACGCGTTCCACAAAGATTGTGCAGCTATGGTAATTTGCCAAAGATGAAATTATTTACAAAACAAAATTTAAAACTGTATTTTTACATGTGAGGGAAATTAAAAGATAATGAGGATACAAATTGGATTCAAACTGAGCTTGATTATATGTATCCTCTTAATAATAATAATAATAATACAAACTGACCTTAAAACACTTGTGACTGTATCTAGTTATATAAACTGAGTAGTGTAGTAAAACATCAACCTCAGTATAACTTGAAATAAAGTGTTTGGAACATAACATCTTGTTTAGTGTGTATTTGAATACCAGTGTAGCAGCATTGAAAGACAACATAGACATTTTTTTTATAGTTCTCCTTGATCAGGTTGGAGGAGGATGTGTTTTTGTACCAGTCAATGAGAGTAAAAGCACAGACTGGTACTGTGAAGGCCACTGAGAATATCTCATCTACAATATCTTCACTTCTCAACATAAGAGAGAGGAGGTCCTTGTCTCAGTGTGTCTTATTAAACAAAGGCCCTGTTCACGCCGGGTGTTAGCATCTGTCCTGAGTGATGCGATCACAAGTCGACAGCTCGGAGTTCTGGTGTGAAAGCAACCAAGACACATTGAGAACAGGGCGATCACTCAGAAGAACGCATTCGGAGGTGGTCTGGGACACATGTGGTCACATTGTTTTAGCTGCGCGAACATAAATGTGTCCTGATCACATTGAAACACCACCTACGCAGCTGATGACCTCTGACACACACACACACACACACACACACACACACACACGTATACTCAGGCTGGATGAGAAAAACATTTGGTCTCTCTGAACAGAAATGTCATTTGTGTGTGTTATTGTGTGTATTTATAACAGGACAAACTAGAATATGGTGGGCCACCACAGTCTAGATATTTAATGAGACGCTGCAGTCACTTTTTGAGTGAAAAGAGTCTGTGCGAATTCAATCTTTTAACTAATCAGGGTTCAAAATAAGTTTTAAACCTGAATCTGAGCAGACAGTTGCAAAGCAGCATCAGATCAGAGTGCAGGTTGTCATCTGTCTCTTATTCACACACTCTCTCTCCTTCAGAAATGACACACGTGTGCACATGGAGCAGGGAGGTGAGATGTGGAGACATGACGAGACACATTCTAAGGCCTGGTGTGAACTAATGTACTTCGAGCTGTAGTGATCACACAGGTGTTAATACCGGGTCTGAAGAGTGCCACAGATGAAGCATGCGTTTTAACATCATACATTCATTCATACATTTATCCTATCAGTCAAGATAGGGAAGTGATGAGGGCTGCACACACATGTGGAAGTTATCAGGACTCATGAAATCTTTCCTAATCATCAGACTTGGATGAAAAATGTTATATAATTTATCAAAATGTTATGAAACTGAGAGCTGCAGCTAAGAAATGCTCCACCAGAGGGCTGTCAGGAGATGCTCTGTGATCGGACACAAGATGGCAACATGTCTCTTTCTTCTTTCATCGCTCATCCACCTTCCAATCTTCCTCCACCTCTTTCTCCCTGTCCTCACCCTCTCTCTCTCCTCCAGCTGCTGTAGTGTGCAGTGATGACACCGTCCTTCTGACCCCAGGCAGGATGAGCCAGCGCCAGGTGAAGGAGCGGGACAAAGAGAGGGAGAAGGAGGCCGGCCTCCAGACGCCCAACAGGGAGCATGTGGCCAGCCCCTCGACCCTCAGCCCGGGGGTGAGCTACAGCCACGGTAAGATAGACAGTCGTTTGTTTAGAGCACGTGGGCCAGTTGTGAAACTGCTGATGTAAACTTGTGTCATAGTTTGGAAAGTTGAACATATACTCACGGGTTAAGCCTTGTTCAAACAGGAATTGTATGACATCATATAATAAATACCTCACCCTGTGAATTCTGCCTTTCTTATCTACACTCACAATCGTTCTCTTTTTATTGCACATATTTCTCATGTGCATGGATGGAAATTTCTTATGATGGAAGGTAAAACAGCAATGTGGTGAAAAGAAACTCTGAACTTACAAATACTTCCCTGTTTACCACAACTTGAAAAACCTGCCCTTTATCTGAGACGGGCTTGTGTTTTTAATTCTCCTGTGTTCTCAGTGTATTTAATGTCATTTTCATGAGAACACTTCCTTTTTGACTCCATTTGTCCTGCTGATTTTTATAGAAACTCACAACTGACAACTGATATAGTGATTACTCAAAACGTAGTATGAGTTTCTTGCTTGAAAAAAATATATCAGATGTGTTTTGTTTTGCGATCCTGTCTCTCCAGGCTGTTGTTGATTAAACTTATCACTTCCAGCAGACTGAGATAAGAAACTAGAAGGTCAGCTGGTCCAATAATCCCCTTATGAAATCACACCTCACCATTTTTATTTGGATCTGCATCATAATTGCACACACTTGTAAATACCAGCCCTTTGAACATGCCGGACTTTTTTCATCAAGATCCAGGAATTATTTTCTGAGAAATGAAACATTTTGAAAAACGCAATGTTCAAGAAAGTGGAAAAGAAATCCTTGTTCCGCACCAAAATTTAATTGGTTTGTGTTGTCAATCTCCATGACGAGGCTGTTGGACATTTCTCGCTCAGCTCTCTGACTTTTCGAACCGTCTTTGTCTTCTGTTGCCACAGTTGCTCCAGTTTAGCAAAACAAGCATAGGGCCCGAACATTTTGTGTTACTAAGGGTTCTGTCTTATGAGGCTGGAGGCAGAACTCCAGTTTCCTCTGCGGCGATTCACTTGATAAATGCATGAATATTAATTAGTTGCTGAATAGTCAGAATGGCCGCCTCGGAACAGAAAGGTCACAGGCTGGTTCGGTGCAGCTACAGCAGCAGCCACGTATCTCGCTGAACATGGGCGAGCTGCTAAACTCACACCTGCTCACTGAATGTGCGCTGATCCAGATAAGAGCATGTTTAACATTCAGTATTAACAGTCTGAAGTTGCGTGTTCTGTCTGCTTTTACCCCTGAACTCTATAAAAAGATCCACATTCTCCTTGAGCCTCTTAACATATATAATCCTGTTTCCATTGTCTTCGCTTTCTGTGGCTTGTTTTCGTAGATTTAAGACTTTAAGGGACTTGTTGACATTTCTAACTCCAGGACGGACGCTAGTGTTTGGTCTTTGCCTTTCCCAGACTCTCCGGCTGGAGAAACATTGACTCATGCTCACTTGATGGGCAGTTTTGAGTCTGTCCATCTCACTGAAGCACAGCTGTAAACCTGCATGGTCCAGTTCATGTCTTCTCTTTTTCTGCTGCTTTTGTTTCTGTCAAACTGAATTAGTATGTTCTGCTGTGGACATGTTTGACCTACAACTCAAAAAGCTCAGGCTTCAGCTGATGTACTCCAGGATACAAGATAAATACCACGCCATGTCAGCTCCCCTCACCCACCTGATGTATCCCTGTTGTCCTCAACCTTTAGCTTTGAAGAGGACATCAGAATCCGCCACCACTGTTGGAAAATCATATCATTTTGTTATGTTGACTCTCATTTGAGACTTTTCAGAGTTGATGATGGACGTCCCCACACGGCATAGAGAGGATCAAATTAAAAAGAAAGTGAATAACTGATGAGAAATGAGCTCAAGGCTAGATTTGGCCAGGGTCTTACATCACCCTTCATTCTGCTTGTACCTTTTTCTTATGTTACAGTGCCCCCTTGTGGATCCTTTTCTGTGGTTCATCAAGGGCTGGCAGTGTTGATGAACACTAATATTTAGTATCTATTTGTCTTTGTCAAAGATTCACAGAGGAAAATATAGGAAAATGCAGATTGTGGTGTTGGACCTGGTGGAAAAGCTGATTTTGCACTTGTCATAGAAACTGGTTTAAGTCAAGTTGTTTCAGTGTAAGATCACGGAAGTTTAGAAAAACAAACAACTTAAAAATGTGGTTGTTCGATTCCCTATGATACAGTCATGTCAGTATTGTCAACTGTTGGCTCACAGTTCTGAACCTGGGAAGCTCAAGGCCATAGTAAGAGGCAGAAAGAGGACATCCACTCCTATTGCTGCAGTAGTTTTGACTTCCCTCTAGTTTTTCAACAGTTGTAAGCCACCTTCCCACCACAAGAGGGAGTACTCACATCAGAAAATCTAGTGATTATCCATCATTCAACACACAACTTACTATAATTTGTTGATAATGAACTTTGTGTCCTCTCACTGCACACTGACACGAGAGTGATTCATATCTGTGTGTGTGCGTACATGCATCAATGCTCATTACACAACATTTGTGATGGGGTCAATGAGAGCTCGCTGTGCGTCACTGCCTTCCTGCTTTGAGATCTTTTTCTTACATGTGTGCCTCAACAGTAGGATCAGTTTGCGTCTGTGCGACTACCTCCCCTCCCAAACATTATTGTATCTGTGCGTCAGTCTGAATCAGTACGGCAGCATGAAAGCTCCCTCTGACCCTCCACTCCCTGCAGCCCAAAATGGGGTATCCATGGCAACAGATTTTTACTTCAGCTCGCTCCTGCTCTCGTGTCAAAGTGATGACCGTGTGTGCTTGATCGATGTGTAAAACACTCTGGGACATATTCCTTTGTTTTACATTTGCAGTAACAATTGATTTTTAAATCTTCAATGTGGGTTTTCAGTCGTGTATTCCACAGAATCACACAGCGTTGACTGTTGCACTCAGAGTTATTTCTCAGTTTGAGAGGAACATTGTTAGTGTTGTGTGAAAAATAACAACCAATGTGCAAAGATCGATGGTTGATTCTCATAGTTATTTTCCACAGCTCAGTTTAGGGAGTTCAGCTCAGTGACATAACCATGATTTATAGAGGATGATTTCTCAAGGTATATAAACACAACAACACTTGATTGCTCCACTGGAGTGAAGTGACTCACCTCTGAGTGACTTGCATGCAAGATTTACGCACTAGTAACCACTTTAAAACCCTTGTTTACGTGGGGTTTGGTGATCACACTCAAAATCTTTCCTCTTACTTCTGAATCTGAATCAGTCTTTTGGGTGTTGTTCACATATTTGCTGAAAGCAATTACAAAGTTGTTATTCCCTGTTTAAATGAGCGAATCCCATTTTTAGTAATCACATTGGTGCAGTACAGCAGTTTATTGCCCATTGGACACAGTGAAATCCATCCCTCTAAATCAATTGTTTTTCATCCTAGAACTTAAATCAGGTTTCTAAATAATATGTACTGAGCAGGACATCCAACATTATTAAATAAACTCTTCAGTGCTCTTTGATAATATATCAGAATGCTGCATCATTTCTGTCACTCAATCAATCAATCAATCCAATTTTATTTGTAAAGCCCATATTCACAAATCACAGTTTGTCTCCTGAGGCTTAACAAGGTGCGACATCCTCTGCCCTTCATCAAGAGTAATGAAAAACTACCCCCCTCCTAAAAAAACCCTAACAGGGGACCAAAATAACATAAAACCTCAGAGAGCCACATGTCAGGGATCGCTCTCCCAGGACGGGAAAAAGTGCAATAGATGCCACAGATGTCTGTCATGGAATATCTTGCAACTGATCATTTGGCAAATACATAATATCTGTGATAAGGTAAATCAGTGGTGGAGATTTAAACATGGCTAATGCCAAGTGTGGACCGGTAACTGAGTTATGTAAGTAAATGGAAACTAACTTCATGATTACTCCTGAGTTACTCAAACACAGGAAACATTGAGACGCTTTAAATCACCAACTGAGATGTAGACCTTGCTTAAAAGTTTCAACTCAGTACTTAAGGCATCCTTAAATATACACAGCAAAATGGTGGCCTATATATTGTTATCGGAGTCTAAAATATGGACATCTGCTGTGAAAATGAGTCGTGCTTATGTAGAGAACAAAACTGCTCTCTATAGTAAATCCTTGCTGTGTTGGTTTATGATTCATCCTGCTCTCATACTGTCAATTTTTTTTGTTCATTTATTTTAATCAGTTTAGATGCATCATCACGTAAGCACAGGTGTCTGTGGTCTGGCTGTTGAGTGAGTCTTCTTTTCATCACGATTCACTGGGAACAAAAATAAACCCAGGAGGTTGTTTAATAAGGTTTCTTCAATTGGCTTAAAAGCCGCTCTCGCTTTAAACACCTTTTGCTGACTTGACCTTCTTTCTAGGAAAACAGGAGGTCTAACTGTACGGAGAATAAGACGATGTGGGATATATATTTATATATGTGCAAGAGGGGTGAGATGAAAAGCAAAGGAGTACAAGAGCAGGTGGGGTCAGTACGGATTTAAGATCAGCTCTGGGATTATACCGGTCAGACAGGGTTAAAAACGTGGAAGGGGCTGGTCTTATCTGCACCCTCAGCCACTGCCAGGCCAGTGTCCTTTTCTTCCACCTACGCTCTCGTCCAATGAGCAGCTGAGCCCAGGGAGGCCCGAGTGCTAAGAGGGACAAGGCTTGATAGTGGAGATACACACCATAGATAAGGAAGAGGCTGTGGAAGGAGGACAGGACGACGTGATGGACAATATCTTGGCCTTGAGGTCTGAGCTTTGCTCGGACGGCCGGAGGCTTGTTTGGACTGACACCATCTGGATCTAAAGCACAAGTGATTTTAACATGATTTGGGGGACTGGACAGCTGTCGACCTTAGCACACAGCTTTTAGCCTGAACGGAAGCATCAGAAAAGAGGTACCAGTTGTCAAAATAGTGCTTGTTTGTGTTTCAGCGACCCTTAAGACCCCTGAAACCCACCCCCTTCTCGTTAT